TGAACTGTCCTGAACACAGAGCTGTGAAACTGCAGCTCTGGGCTCTGCTGTGTTGGTTCTTTCACAGAGCTGGTTTGATACAGGCTCAAGCATCTTGTACCCAATTTTGTTTTTTTGGAGACAGCTTTTTGTTTTTAGTATTGCCACTCTTGCCTGGTGTAAATATCTGAGCAGTGTGGCCAGGTGGGTGTGGGGAGCAGCAATCCCTGTGTCCCCCAAATCTGAGAGCCACTTGCTTGAACTGCTGTCCTGTGGCTGAGGAACCTTGGAGGTGCTGCCTTGTGCTCTGCTGAGGCTGCTGAGTTCCTCTCAGGTGCCTCAAAACAACTTCTGTGCCTTCAGTGGATTTTCTACTCTGGTTTTGCCTGTTCCATCCCCAGATCTCTGTGTTATACCTGCTGGCCACACCATGGGGAGCCTAAATGGATCAGGATGTGTGAACAAGATTTTAAAACACACCTCAGCATCCCCTTCACTTGCAGCTGCTGCCTGGGAGCAGCAAAAATTGAATTTCTCATGTTGTAGCACAAAACCTGGAGTTTCACAGCTGTGGCTCCAGTGCTCCTGAAAATAAATAATGGGTGCTGGCACCAAATGTCATGATTAAAACACTACCAAAAAAAGCCCAGCCCAAAACAATGAGCAGCTTTTCCACTGGAGATTGAGCAGAGGCTGAACTAGCCAGGGTCTGCTGGACTGGACAAGGACTTGGTGTTCGCAATTGAATTCAACCAGAATGTGATAAATAATAAAAGATACACACATGACAGTGAAGTGGCCAGTAATTAGGAAATTGATGGTTCAGAGTCCCCTTTTGTGGCTAGAAATGGACTCTGGGGTCTACACATTAGTATTAAAATATCATTTGTCATCATGGTTAACATTTACAGATTCTTGGTCTTTTTTGTATAATCCAAAGGTCTTAAAGTCTCTCTAAATTCTTATAAATTCTCCCCAAATTCTTATATGAATTCAAGGTGTTTGTCCTGTGGAGCAAAGGGAGTGGAGGGACAGAGCCTGACCTGCTCTCTGCTGATTCCAGCTTTTGGCCAAAGCACCAAAATTATTGAGCACTGATTATGCTCAAAATATTTCCCCAGGGTTGCAGAACAGAATGAACTTTTGGAGCTGTGGGCTGTCCTGAGTGTTGGGTTGGAGCTGGGAAGGGTTAAATCACATCCTGGTGGAACAAACTGTGCAGTTTCTCCAGTCCTTCTCATGGAATCACGGAATGGTTTGGATTGGAAGGGGCCATTCAAGGCCATCCACTCCCAATCCCTGCAAGAAGCTGGGATAGCTAATGTGAGAAAGAAATTAATTTGTAGAGAATTCTTAAAGCATATTTTATCTAAAGGACATTAGGTACTGGGCTAAAACTCTTAACAGGCATTTCTTAGTATACAACTTATTTATGTTCATTGGTAATGCAATAGCCATTGTTAGTTTTGGTTGAATTACCATTGGAGCATTGTAAGAGCGAGCTGAAATCATCAGCTCTTCATTGTAATTTGCTGAGATGATAGTTGGGAAAACTGAAAGTCTAAGAATTCTATTACTGTCCTTGTCTATACTTAGAAAGTCTTGTCTTCGTTGTAAAGTGTTAGTAGCTCTTGTGGGAATGCATTCATGGTAAAAGTGTTTTTAAAAATATATTAATTTGGAAGTTTCCAGTTCACATTGTGAAT